TTGTTTGGCGGGGGGGGTTCCGGGGGCTTTGCTGGCCCCCCCCCAGCAGACCAGGGAGACCGGGAGAAGCTTTTCTCGCCCGGGAGGACACAGGTGGCGATCCGCCGCCCGTGAACCCCGGGGCGAGAAAAGCCCCGTTCGTAAGTGCGGATCCTACATAAGTCGGATCCGCGTAAGTCGGGGACTGCCTGTACTTGGAAATGTGGGACCAAAGAATAAACTTTCTTTATTCAGGGGGAGTAGAGCTAATCCTAATCTATCTTGTATCGATTTCACTCCAGTGTAAAGCAGCTGACTTCAATGCAGTTTTCCTGCTTTACACTACTTGCCTGCTAGTAATAGTTATTTACATGCACCCATAAATAAAGCCCTTCTTTCTCAGAAGGTTTCACTTAACAAAGTAGTGGGGATCGTTAGTACTCACAAAGCAAATTCCTAAAAGCCCATAATCACAGGAGTAGTCCTTTCTTCAACACGTAGTCCTTTTACACAGGATTACTCATGTGAGTAAGGTTACTATTCTGTACAGGGGCGGATGAGAGTTTTGTGGGGCAGGGTCTATTGAAGCATAGGGCCCGGAGCAGCACAATTTCGTGCATGTGCCACAGTCACAGCGACAGGTAGTAGCGCGTGCGGGGGCCTATTGAAGCGCCGGACCCAGGGCAGCCACCCCCCTTGCTCTGCCCTATATCCACCACTGATTCTGTAGTGATTTTCTTTTCCTTGTAATTATAACTTCTTTCCTATTACACTGGAGTTTCCTTTTATTAGAATATTCTTCACTTGCATACTGTTGGTGATCTACCCTATTTGTTTCTGCACATATTGTAATTTCCTTTTTAGATATAAAAGGGGGTAGTTATAAAAGAAACAATCCTTTTGAGCCTATAGCATTAGCAGAACAATCATAACAAACAATTAATAATGTATATGACAGAAGCGACAAAAGAAAACTCCACTTTATATAGTATTTTAGCCAGATTTTTACAAATTATTAAAAGGTGAAATAATTGCTTAGTTTGAGAACATTTCATGGGTGAGAGGTACAAAAAATTTTCTTAGAGCAACTGGCTTTATTTCCTTGAAAAGACAGCAGCAATCCTCTTTATTTAATTTTATTCACACATAAATACATTTGCACACCAAAAATTTGTTTGTTCGTGATTTATAGCAACAAGAGCCATAACACTCTGTCTTGAGCTCAGTTTTCATCTGCATCTAAAAGCCTTTAATGGCATTTTACTGTACAAAACGTAAAGATCATTCTAAAATTGGTTATTAGTATAATAGCTTTATCCGCCATTGTAGGAGGAAACAAAACTCTTAACTCTCCCCTCTCTCTCCTATTCTTTGTTTCCTTTTACATGCATTTTGCATTTTGGTTCACTGGCTTCAGAAAATTCAAATGCATTACCATTGTTTTAGTCATGAATGACAGAAGTGAAATACAACGGGGTAGAGATCATACAGCTGATAGTCAATCTTTTTTGAATGTTACCATTGGTTCTGAACTTTGAGGCAATGTTAACACAATCATGTAACATTCTGAGCTTGGGCATACAATTGTTATGCAGACTTAAATGGGAGTTTTCCCAGTGTACAGCTTGTAGGATTGGGTCCTCTATTCCTCTTCATAGCAGAACATCGGAAGTTGTTGCATTTCATCCTAACCTTTTCCAACATGTATATAACTGTTTATTTGCATTAATTATTTAGTTTCTTACTACTTCTAAACTCTTTAAAAACACTTTGAGTTTCAGATATCAAACAAATAGCCTTTACATTTCTGATTCTTTTACACTGGAAACTCTTCTTTCAAAGCGTTAGTGTGTAAAGATCTGAGATTCTTTGTTTGTGTCTACTGAATAGAAGTTGGGGGAAATAGCATCAAAGCATGAAAATGCATTGGTTTTGTATTTAAATGAATCCCCCATCCAATCTGGAAGTGGTATAGCAAAACTGAAACAAGTTCTGAATACAATCTGGCTGCAAAGAGGGGCTGTTTGCTTTGTTTTGATTGGGCTGCTTTAGTTTTTTTCTAATGCCATGTAAAATTCCTTGCTTGCAGACAATGCTTTCATCTTTTTTAATCATCTTAATTATGGTCTCTTTGGAACAGATGAGCTCCAGACAAATATTTATTCTGAAGTGTATGTGTGCTGGCCACATCCCTTGACTTAATTCATCTGGAAAGAGAGGTTGCTGCTGACTTAAATACTTTCTGCTAGGTTTGAGACTGGAGATGTATTAGGAATTATTTTGATTACTTGACTCTTCAAGTTCTTATCTGGTTCCCTAGCAGGCAGAGATGATCTTCCCTGAGCAGCTTTGAAACCCACTTACCTCCACAGTCCAGCATGTTATACTCATCTGGTTTTTCCAGGGGCCAGCAGTCATAGTCACTGTTATCCAGATCGTGCCACCCCTCCACTAATATCACCTGCCATGGAAAAAAAATCCCAACAACCCTATAACACACATGAGGGGTTGTCTACAAATTCTGTTCTCTTAAAACAAAACCAGATGTACTTTCCCTTGTATCTCTAACTTTCTGGAACAAAAATCACAGCTGGGAATAACCTAAATGCTCAGAAACTAGATCACAGGTTCATTATACTCCCACATAGCTCCCCTCCCCTGAAATTATTTCCAAAACAATAAGAAAAACTCGACTAATGCAGCTGTGCTTTCTGTGCTTCTTAAATGTCACTCTCCATCCATATCCTCTCTTCCTTTCCTTTTAATTTTTAACACATTTTTTAAAAAACTTTTTTTCCTTAAGGGAATTTTTATACAAAAATACAGTATACATTTTATATATTATAAAATATATTTAAATATAAATTGTATTCATGCATACTATCTATCATTATTGAAAACAGACTAATCACAATTAACAGGACACAAACCATATAACAGAAATAACAGCAGGTTACATTATAAAATATATTTTATATAGTAGAATAGATTAGAGTAATATGTTCTGCTTTTATCTAGGTATTTAAAAAGGAATATGATAGAACATGTTCCTCTAATATATTCGGTTGTTTATATATTGAAGTACTGAATGAAATAAAATGATAAATTCCTCTCATGTATTCTCTTATATTAGACATATTCGTAAAACAGTGAATAGAACATTGTCTTCTAATGCATTCTTTAATTAGTGTTCCATACTTTTAGTAGAATAGAATGCAACATATCCTCCTAATTTTCCTATATATTAGCAGAATAAAACACTTTCTTCTAACAGATTCTACCATTAGTCTCATGCATACAAGTGGAGGAGAGTAGAACCAATTGTTACTATTCTCTATACTAGTGAAATAGAATAGGTTAGGAACAATCCGTAATTAAGAAGCAACAGCACTGCAATACAATATTGCTAATTTCTTGACTATGTACTAACTATAGGAGCAGGATCTATGCAGTTTACCTACCAGTAAACTGAGGAGGCTTCGGAACCCAGGGGACGCTCCCATGGTCCCAAATAGTCATCAAGCCCAGTTAGCCTCAGGGCTGATGCTGCTAGAGCTCAGCTGGGTTCTCCCCTCCCCACTGGTTTCCAGCCAGCCAGACGTTTATCACAGGTCTAGCTGCTGCAGTTTATTTGTCCTCCCTCCCCCTTCACTTTGTGGGGTGGGAATCTCCCCCTCCCCCCTTGGCAAAGTGCCTTTGAGAAGGCAACAGACTGTCACCTCAGCCTCTTGGCAGCTCCCTTCCAAATGCACAGGCACTGAGGGAAGGGTTTTTCCTTCCCTCAACACTGGATGGGAATAGGAGTGTGAGGACTTTAACCCTCACCCCTGTTGCTCCTAATTGTCAGGTCTTCTCTGTTCCCTGCTGGGAAATTTCCTTGGAGGGCAGATAAGACAACTACAGCAAAATGCAGGCTGGGTCTGCGTAAGATGGGTTTGTAGGTTGTAAGCACAAAATGGACTATTCTGATCTAGTCGGCACAAGCAATGGAATTCCACCCAGTTACCCTGGCCTTCAGCTCAGTAATGTGTTTGATTGGTAGCACACTGCCTCTGCACATGCAGAAGCAAAATGCAGGACAATGTAGCACTTTAAAGGCTAAATTGTATGCTTTGGTATATATGGTTGTGACTATTTTCTTCCACTATTTGATCTGAGGAAGTGGGTCTGGCCCACGAAAGCTCATCATCTAATAAACCATCTTGTTAGTCTTTAAAGTGCTACATTGTCCTGTATTTTGCTTCAGCTACCCCAGACTAACACGGCTACATTTCTATCGCTATTCTGCGCATGCAGTCTGTGGTCTATTGGTTTGGTAGGCCTAGGGCTATATCAAAGCTCATGCCCACTGCACTCAGTTTCACTCTGCCTTTCACTGTAAATTCTGCTTGCAAGCCCAATAGGTCATCTAAGTGTTGGAAATTGCCCCTCACCTCCCCCCCTCACACACTCTCGTAAGAATCTCAGAATTCAAATTCATGCTTGATGGTGAAAAGAAAAAAGAGCCTTGAAAGAAATCTCAACAACCTTTTTTTAATAGAGAGACTTTATTACAGTAGAATTGTTTGTCCAATGCATTTTGTTCCTTATTCAGGTTGTAAATCTGTAGACAGTCTGATTCGTAATTAGCTCGTTTAAGTTGTCATTCAAAGCTGCTTGATTATCACTACCAGAACGAACCATTGACTTCATTAGTGACACAGATCACTAAAATACTGTAATATAGACATTCAGCTTGGTCCCAGTTTAAAGGGACCTTTGAATGATTCAATAGTAAAATAAACTCAAGTGACTTCAATGGAATTTCATCCATTCATACCAACTGGCTTGTATGCTGACATATTTATGTCCATGGGTGGTTTGCAAACTGCTTGCTGTGTCTTTGGGTATTAACTACTCATTATTTGTGGTGTGCAGCTGGCCGCCTGAGTCACATGGCATTGTTTCAGTTTCCTAACTGGATGGCTAACTTTTAGAATCAAGCATAGGGTAATTAAAGAGATTTCAAGACTGATGTATGAGGAAGTCCAATGTAAGTCTTTATGTAGGTACATTCACATTTGTATTCAGGAGATTCTGACTATACTTGTGAAAAAACAACATGCATACAGTCGTTCCGTCAGTGTCGTTCTCTGTCAGGATTCAGGGTTTGTCCCGATCGGTTCCTGACAGGTCCTCTACTGACTATTCTTGTGAGAGAAAACCAACATGCATACAAATATTTGAAAAAAAAAAAAAAACCAAAAGGGTTATAAATATTGGTGCAGTAAGTTTATTTTTTTTATTCAAAGAAATGTTTGTAAATACTTGACAGTGTTTTCCCACCCAAACTAAAATTCCTGATATCATTCCTCAATTCTAAATTTTGAGGATGTTCAGACTGACATAATGGCATCCTAGATGATTCTAGTGTTGATAATGAGCTGAAATTAAATAAGAGCTCATCCACATTTTGAATTTTAGATGAAAATTTTTCATTTAAAAATTGATTTGTCAACACAAAGAACAAAAATTGGGGGGATAGGGTTGATCACATACAGGACAGGTTGAAATATTCTGAATATTAGGATTCCATCAACAAATTAATATTAGATTTCCAACACTGATAACAAAGAGCCAACTTTCAGGGCTTTCAAATGTATATGGACATTAAAAACATTTGGAGGCAGATCTGAGCTTCATAGTAGCTCATCCCCATTTCTGATAATGCAAATGTTTTAGTAATTCAAAGAATGAAGATTTGTTTTTAAAAGTTTAGCCTTTGTGAATATCAAAAAAGAGGGCCTTTCATGCTTACTTTGAGGATTTAAAGCATATGTAACCATCTGGTGAAGACAGATGGCTCATGAAACCAGTACCTGGCAATTGGAGCTTCTTTTTCCAGAGTCATACATAGGATGGTCAATAGTAATTTTTAATGTATGAGAAAATGAATTTCTAGATTTACTAACAAAGTAAGCACCATTAAGAACCCCAAGAGAAGGTGTAAAATGCTGATGTAGACTCTGTCTCTGTTAGTCATATTCTAGTAGGCCCTGTGACAGGGTATATAAACCCTGCTCTAGCATGAATGCGGTCAAGGAGCTACTTTTGGGTGGATTTGCACCTGCAAATCCAACCAGGACTAGAGGAGGAGTTAAAAGGAGCCTCCCTCCCCCAAGATGGGAGCAAACCCGGAAAAGGAACAGACTGTTGAGCTTCTCCAGCCCTGAAGAGAAGGTTGACAGCCAATATTGCTTCTGCCATTGCAGAGTCTGGGGTAGCTCTCCTGAGTTAAAAGAGGGAGAGAGGCTGAGACTCACAATGCAGCCATTCATCTGATGAAGTGGCTTGTACACATGGAAGCTCGTGATATTTGTTAGTCTCTGAGATGCCATGGGTCTTCTTGGTGTTTTGAATGAAGCCCTAGGGTCCTCTGAAGGAAGAGAGGCGCATAACTTGGAAAGAACTGCCCACCTACAGGTTCCCTCCCGCTCCCATTTAATTTTTTCATTTAACCTTGTTTGCTAACCCCTGGCTGTTCCGTTGTATAACCGAAGACCCTGTGAGGGAACAGAACAGCCAGTCTGTAGAAAGACAGACCCCGTGCATGTGCACCCATGCAGCTGCTATTGAGAGTGCTCCACCACAGCCACATTTAGGATAAGCTGCCACCCAACCTTGCTTATGCGGCCTACAAAACAGTAAAATGCTGCTCTCTGGGTTCAAAACTATTTAGAAAGTGTGGAAATGGCCACAACTAATTTCTCATCCCAAACCTAGCACTAGGCAGGATGAAGTCCCTAGATAAAGGACAGCTAATATAAGATGAAGGTGGAGATGAAATGAACCTATTGTGACAAAACAATGAAAAAATTAAAAGGACTGAATGAACGTAGAGGAGCAGTTCAGAGGGGGAAAAGACAGGAATAGGGAAAGTGGTACCCACTTAAGCAAAAGGATTAACTGCTTGTATTTTAACACACACATTGTGCTTCCTTAGAAGATTTATTTTGGAGGATTTAGTTAAAATAAGACATGCTATACCAGCACATTCAAATTTTGGAATATTTTTAAGTCTGGAAATATCAATATATAGTCTGCAGCTTGCCATGTTTCAGTTGCAGGTTAAAAAAAAAAGCAATTAGCAATGTTTGGATTGTTCTGTTACTCCCACCTAGTGGCTTTAGACCAGAACAGCACACAGAACAGCAGTTTGACTTGGGCACAGATTAGGGCTTCCTGCTGTTGCAAACGGAGCTGCAAATGGAATTAGAATTTCAGCTGTAAGTGAAAAGAGCCATGCAGTGGCTTGCCTGCCGAGTAACTCTGGGGGTGTGTCTAGATTATAGGGTTTTGTAGACAAAAGTGGACTTTTGTCGTCAAAACTACACTGTCGCTGAGTTCTGTCGACATAACGTTGACAGAACTCAGAAGTTTTGTCGACGGCTGTAAACCTCATTCTACGAGGAATAACGCCTTTTGTCGACAGAGTTCTGTTGACAGAAGGCGTTATTGCATCTACACTGTCCTTTGAGTCTACACTGTCATGTCAACAAAGCTGCTTGCTTTGCTGACAGAACTGGATGTAGTCTAGATGCTCTTTGTCGACAAAAGCTTTGTCAACAGTATCTGTCGACAAAACTTCTGTTGACAAAAGCCTGTAGTCTAGACGTACCCAGGAAGGCTGCTTTTAGGGACTTCACGGCATACATTGTAAAGAGGCAGTAAGGTCTAATGCAGAGGGCACTGGTCTGATATTTTCAAGACAAGGTAATATTTTCAGCCACCCAAGTAATTTAGGAACCTACAGTCTGTTTTCCAGAGAGATTTAAGAGCCCATTTCATTGAAAGTCAATAGAACTTAGGATCCTAGGTGTTCAAGTTCCTTTTGAAAATGGGATTCAGAATCTTAAATAATACTTTGAAAATTTTTGCCCCAGGACTCTATTTCTGGCTCAGCTGCATACCTTGGCAAGTCCATCCAGCTCTTTTTGCCTCTCTATTCCCTCCTACCCTTTATCTTCCTGTTGATTTCAATTGCAAACTGCTCAGGAATTTCTCTCACTCTGGACAATGCCTGGTACAACAGCATTCTTGGCTGGAACCTCTAGCTACTGTTGAAACAAAAATAAACACGAAAGCTACATTAATAAATGTGATTAGATTTCTTACAGGTTTCTTGGTAGACACAGTTTTAGAAGGCTTTCTAGATTGGGGCAAATTTCATACTAAGTGGATAAATCAGGTCTCAATCCTCCAAAGTATTAAGTGACGTCAGCCTGCAAGAGGCATGAACATCTCCCAGGATTAAGTACCAACAGCACTGGAGGACAGCAGGCATGCTCAGAAACCTCATAAAAAGTACTTGGACCCAGAGCCACAAAAGGACTTTAATTGCCCTTCAGGTCCTGCTAAGATCCTCAAGACACCTGTTCTGTTGTCAGCTCACTCTGGTGGCGCCTGCATTTTGCCATAAATTCCCCCAGTATCTGTATTTCTGTTGTGTGGCAAGTAGGGTTTCCGGGTGTCCGGTATTGACCCAGAAAGTCCAGTATTTTCACCTCCTGCCTGGTAAAAAACTTCAGAAAATACCAGACACCTCAAATGTCCGTTATTTTCTGATTTTTTTCC